GAAAAGGTGAACCCATTCTAGGGGATTTAGAAGAAAAGAAAGGACTTGATCATGTTCATTTTTTTGCATTATTATTACAACATGGGAAAAGGTGAGCACAATTTACTCCATTCAAAGTTTCAAATCCAAGAGTTAGAATAGTCCTCAATTATTGAACACAATTTACTTCATTCAAAGTTTCAAATCCAAGAGTTAGGATAGCCCTCAATTATTGGATTCAGGATTTTTCTTAATTTAGCATTTTCTCTTCAAAACTCTCCGGGAGGCTTCAACCTTGTCAATCTTTTGATCCTTTCCTTGTTTGTGTTTTCCACTATTCCCTTAATAACACAAAGACACCCAGAAAAAGCATTAGAACAAATATGGTATAAAGAAAATGAAATCTTCAAAAGTTCATATGAAGAAAAAAAAAATTCATTACCTTCCAAAAAATTTCATCCAGACACAAACAGATCTTCCCATACTTATCAAGAAACAATCGTTCTGTTGGAGATTTCTTGCATGCATCCTTGATCAATGAGGTTATCACAAACATAACTTCAGCCACTATTGAAAGAAATCAAAACCCAAAATCAGTTCCAAGGACTAAAATGTGAAAAAACGAAAATTTTCATTAAAAAATGCAAAAATGGAGACTCACATGCAAGTTCATCATATGCATCCTTCCCAACAATATATATGCAGACATCACCTAGCACGGTATAAACAATATGAACTGACCTGATCACAAAGTTCAAAGAAAGATTTACTTGAGAAATTCTTCAAAATAATATTATTGACAGGCTAGATTTCGACTATTGTGCGAAAAATAATGAAGGCATGACTCAGAAACTAGATATACTTGTGTGAAGCAACAAAGAGTTCTTCATTGCTGGCACGTTGGAGATTATCGGCTCCAAGTTTCACCAAGAAAGATCTCCAATGGAGTCTTTCCTCAGATGGAACTCCATTGAACCTTCAACAAAGATCAGCATTTGGGATTGAATGGTTAATGATACACATTGATACATGTATATTGTAACACTTTATATAGGATTTTATGCATAGAATGGTACCGCTCCACAAGAATGTTTCCTACAGAATTAGAGATGAGTACTGCCATCAACATATCTGTCTCTGGTGTAAAGAGTATTGTTGTCTGTGATGGTTTAGGATTCAATAAGAACAGATAAATCCTAGGAAAAAGAATTCCCAAGATTTATTCATGAGATTTGTCGTGGTCAATTGTTAGATCTATTCAAAGGGATATCATCCCTAGTTTGGTCTAAAAAAGCTCCTAAAAATTATGTTTTTTTTTTCCTTAAGATTTGTAAAACAGAAACTGGTTTTAAATGTCACCTGAGTTACAAAAATAGATGTGGTGTCCCTTGGCTGGCAGCAGTTCAGTTGTTAAGACTATTTAGTCATAGTCTGAAGTTCGAACTCAGAGATAGATACATGAGAATGGGGATTGGGGAGAGATTTGTGAGGTAAAGAAAGAGAAGAAATCAACATCAAGTGGACTCAGGACCATCACTATTGACACCTGTCAGTTGCGTGACAAGATAGCTCACTTTTGCCTGTGTCAAGGGGCATTAATGACAAGCCAACCACTCATAGCTGCCCTCTTTCTGTGTCAAATTTTTTGTCCTCTTAGTCTTAGGATTTTGGAGGCATCTGAGTTTCCCAGGTTCCATGCATAATAAGTTTTCCTGGAAAATTCTAGTATCGTTTCAATCAGATAAGAATGAATAACCTAATGACCAAAAATAGGAAAAGCACATCATCGCAATGGGGGCATCATTCACTGCCACACCTGTTTCTGCATTTCTTGAGAAGTACATCAAAACACATGGCCTTATACATATATATACATTTCAGAATTACTAGCATCTTAAGACATATAGCCTGGCCATTCAAAAAGGAAAAAAAGACATATAGCCTGACTTTAACTAAGCCTTGTAGAAATTGTACATCCATAGATATCACACCTGAAGAGGTGGACTTAAGTACTTTCTTTTGAAACACCATTTGAATCAGAAGTCACAGGACAATTCCAATTCAGAAGTTCCTCTATCATCTGCATTGCAATGACATCTTCCTCATCAATTCCCCTCACAGCTTCTTCAACCTCAGCCCGTGGTGACCCTGATGAGAACGCCGTCCCCTCCTCCATTACCCCCGATGTCTTGCTGTCCTTGTACTTCCCCAGCTCAACCCTCATGACCCAGTTGGACCCTGACCTTGCCCCTGCACGTTTCTGCCAAACCCCAATATGGGAATTGTCAGTGTCAAGCCTCAGGCAAGTCAAGGAAGGAGACTGATCTTTGCAACATTTCCGGAGCTTTGCATTAAGTAGCTCGGATAGTGCCTTGGCTGGCAGTGCAGAATCATCATCAGGCTGACCCTTTGCTACCGGAAAATTGGTCTTGGCATTTTGTCCGCTCATCAAGATTGCTGCTTGGTCATAAGCTCTAGCTGCTGCCTCTGCTGTCTCAAATGTCCCCAGCCATACCCTTCTCTTCCTGCATATCAAATCAGAACCACAACAAGACCAGTTTCTCTTGACATTAGATTTACAAAAACAAGTTAAAATCTTCCTGCATACCAAAGATAAATAAACATAACAAAACAAAGACCAGTTTCCCTTGGCATTTAGATTTACAGAAACATGTTAAAAGGGGTAATGTAATAATGTAATTACAGTAAAGGGTGGCGAATTTCAGACACCCAAGAGCCCCACTGACGCTGCCGGACACCTCTGTACTTCCTTGATTGTACCATGTTTGGTTTTTTGTCAGAGAGAGAGAGAGAGAGACTGCAGAGAAAGTTTGCAGAGTTACATAAATATGAGAGGATCTAGCTGAGTTTTTAAAGGGAGAAATAAAAACCAACTGTAACAGTAGAAAAATACCTGTGGATTGTCGGTGGATTGGACTGAAAGTCCAAGTAATTAGTATTTGCCGCAATAAAGTTTTCACCTACAAACAGCCATGACAAAAACCTTAGGGGGTCATGACTCATAATTCATGATTTCTTAACCACAGAGAAATCAATGGATGACAACATTTATTTTTTTATTTTTTTGGCTATAATGGATGACAACATATATGCATAATAATGCATACAGAAAATTTTTTTTTTTTCAATATTCTGCTCAAATAAATAAATAAAAACTGAATTTCTTTGATTTTTCATTTTCTGTGCTGAAAAAAGATCATGTAAGGTTTCATAAATGGCACAATGTATGTATCAAACTTTACTAGAGGAATAGCAGTTTAGCCTTGCTTTTTCATTAATGCTTTTAGACTTTCTTTTTATTGCACTGAGCTTCCAAAAATGCAATAATGGTGGCCTAAGAGAGAAGATTTATGAGTTTCTTCATAGGATGAAGGTGCAGTTTCTTCGCTCCTTTGACATTTCTGAGATCTGCTTTAAATTTGTGGGGCTTCTAAGTTTGAACAAGCAGCTAGTAGTAGGGACAAAGTACTCCAAGATACACATGACCCTTTTAATCACTTCTTCTTAGTTTTAGTTTTAGCTAGTAAATTCTCAGTATCAGATGAGAAATGAAGGGAGAAGATTATTTCTCTCTCTCTCTCTCTCTTTTATTTTCATGCATCTCTAATGATGGTACAATAAACTATAGTTACTCTCTTTTTTCAAATCTCTGCTCACCCATCTTAATATTTGAACACAACAACCTTACCTGAAGACTAAAATTCTTATCAATTCCTTCCTATAGACTTACTCATGTAAACAAAGAATAATGGAAAAGTGGAGGACATTAATACTTCTACAAAGTTCCAACTCAATTATCAGAGCTTGGGGCCAACTAGACTATAATTGGGTTTGAAAGATTTCGGATTTGCATGTTAATGTGAGACTTTTGGGCTGGCATATTAATAAGAATGTACCAGGAGGTACAGCAGTTGATTGTAAAGCTGACTTTGTGATCCAAAGCAAAAAGCTATTAGCTTTAGGCTGGCAAAGCGAATACTTGGCCTTTCTTGCATCAAACACTGGTTTTCTTTTGAGTTGTTTTGTTGGTTATAAGTTGGCAAAGACTAGTGGACAATATGAGTCCACCTTTTCCTTGGGTTGATTTCACACAGCTTTACATGACTTTTTTCCTAATCCCCTTTCAAGTTATGATTTATCTCAAAATTTGAAGATGAAATGTCCAATTTAATAGTTTCAATTTCAACTTAAATAATTATGACTGACTCTTGAAGGATTGTCGGGAGCTGCATTTTGTCTATGGGGATGAACATAAGACGTTTGAAAGTTTCTATTGCGGTATATGCCTCAAGAATATTACCCTAAAATCTTTAGAAGATGATTCTTTAACATGAAAACAATAGTTGAAAAAAGCACTGAGATTATTCTATACACACTTGGCCCACAATCAAAGTGGTCTTATCTAATGGTTATTTTTGTGAATAAATCAAAGCTATGAATCTTAAATGTTAGTGGGGTTGAACTTTTGGATTGTTCGCCAAATATCAGCTAAGTGGACATAGCATATTTATGGCAAAACTTTTCAAACTCGGTTTGTTTTTTTTAAAATATAAAAACTCAAAAAGTTAATGGAATGAATTACCGGAAGAAGGAAAAGAAAGATCCAAAGGAGAAAAGAAAAGAAAAAAACAAAAGGGGAAGAAAGGTATCATTTCAATTCATTTCATCCAACATGTACCCTTCAAGGAAAGAATTGTATTGATTATTAAAATAACTTAATTTCATGTAAAAAAAGTTCTCATAATCTCACATAATGTTCTTAGCTAGATCCAGAAGCAAAGTTATGAACAGATTCCAAACTGAACATGATATGCTATTCCTCATGCTTCTTAAGAATGCAACGGTGGTTCGTATTCTCCTTTCTTTTTCTTCTTATTCATCAAGATTTCTCAAAGGGAAACAGCTCCATTTGTTCAAAAACTGTGTTTTTGGACAATTTCGGCAGCCGGGTTAGATGGTGCAGCACCTGCTTCACGGAATACTTTTTGTAACAATACATGAGATTAATTATCTTGAGTACGGATGGGCAGACAATTTATGCCGTGAGGTATAAACACGAACAATGCTTAAAATTTTCTGAAGCAATGTTTATTAAGAGATTATTGATTCAACTTCTGATTAAAACTACTAATTTTGGTTTTGTTCTCTTGATTTTTCTTTTTTCTCGCCAAGAAAATGGGACCAAACAAATTCAGGAAAAGATGTTTAGGCCTACTCAAGAGAATGGTGCTGTTCTTGTCTTGAACTAATTAATTCTTAGTGAAATTTTTATGAATATGCTTTCAAAATGTAAAATTTCATGCAGGCTTTAGGACCAAGAATCTACGCAACAGTTGATTTGGACAAGGCGAGAGTGGGAAGGACAACAGTCCTGACTGACAAGTCCTCCCATCCGATTTTCGAACAGAATTTCCGGATATACTGTGCTCATTTGATCTCCGAGATTATCTTCACCGTCAAGGATGACAGTCCGTTCGGAGCAGTGAACATCGGAAGAGCTTATCTACCGGTTAATGAGTCCATCATCCATGGAAATAGATTTGAAACATGTGTTAACATACTAGACGAGAACAAAAACCCTGTGCCGGGACAATCACAAATCCGAGTGTCCCTTCAATATGTTGATGTTAAAATTGAAGAACACAGCCATTGGTCTCGGGGGATCGAAGGTCCAAACTTCAGCGGAGTCCCCTCCACGTACTTCAACCAAAGAGAAGGTTGCAGGGTCACTCTGTACCAGGATGCCCATGTTTCAATGAATTTTAGCCCGTCCATCCGACTTGATGGAGGAAAGGATTACCAGACAGGGAGATGCTGGGAGGATATTTACAGAGCAATTTCCGATGCCCAACATTTTATTTATATTGCAGGATGGTCACTGTATACTGAAATTGTCCTGGTAAGGAATGAAACCACTGGAATCAAACTGGGTGACCTGCTCAAGAAGAAGGCGAAAGCTGGAGTTACAGTTCTGTTACTTGTTTGGGATGACCGAACATCCGTTAACGTACTCCAGGAAGCCGGTCTGATGGCAACTCACGACGAGGAAACTGACAATTTCTTCCGGTTTTCGAAGGTGCATTGTGTGCTTTGTCCCCGGAATCCTGACGATAAAAGAAGCATATACCAGGGGATTAAGATTTCCACCATGTTCACTCACCATCAGAAGACGGTGATTGTCGATGGTGAAATAGCCGGCCACAGTGGATCGGGAATGCGGACGATTGTTAGTTTTGTAGGCGGGATTGATCTTTGTGGTGGGAGGTACGATACCCAGGAGCATCCCCTGTTCAGGACTCTGGGTCACGACGGAGTTCATCATTTTGATTTCCATCAACCGAACTTTGTCGGCGCTTCGGTTGAGAAAGGCGGTCCGAGGGAACCCTGGCATGATGTCCACTGCAAACTGGAAGGACCAGTTGCTTGGGATGTCCTGTACAATTTCGAACAGAGGTGGAGAAGGCGAGCCCGGTTGAAGAGAAGATACCTAATCGAAAGAGAAAGTCTCCATACTTATATAATCCATCCATCACGGGCGGTGGTTGAAGACAGCGAGTCATGGAACGTCCAGTTATTCCGATCAATTGACGGCGGAGATGTTAACTTTCCCTCCGCTGAACGTGGTCTCGTTAGTGGTAAAAATAATATCATTGATCGGGGCATTCAAGATGCATACATCAATGCAATTAGGCGAGCAAAGAATTTTATATACATTGAAAATCAATATTTCCTCGGAAGCTCCTTTGCTTGGAAGTCACAGGACATTAAGGTGGAGGACATTGGTGCTCTGCATCTAATACCGAGGGAATTATCGTTGAAGATTGTGAGTAAGATTGAAGCAGGGGAGAGGTTTACTGTCTACATTGTGATCCCAATGTGGCCAGAGGGGATACCGGAGGGTGCATCTATCCAGGCAATTTTAGACTGGCAAAGGAGGACGATGGAGATGATGTACTCTGATGTTGCGGAGGCTCTTCGGAAGAAAGGACTAGTGAATCCAAACCTAAGGGAGTATTTAACATTTTTTTGCCTTGGAAAGCGGGAGATGAAGGTGGAAGGAGAGTACCAACCACCGCAGAGACCCCCACCTAATTCTGACTACGCCAGAGCTCAGGAGTCGCGACGTTTCATGATCTATGTACACTCAAAGATGATGATAGGTGCATAAAAGCTTTACCATTCTTAATTGCATTAAATCTTGCCAAACTTATTAGTTGAAACATTTTTTTGATAAACTATTTCCAAAAGTTTTGTGGTTTGCCCTGCGTAGATGGCAAAATTAGACCTTCCGCCATGTGGCCTCACTAATCATAGAGTTGCCAACATTTTTTTTTTTTTCAAAGATGTTACTTTGTTTAACCAGTTGGCCCAATGACACTCCTAACAATAACTCTTTGCTTTTGTAGTGGATGATGAATACATAATTGTTGGATCTGCTAACATAAATCAAAGATCAATGGCTGGTTCAAGGGACTCCGAGATAGCAATTGGGGCATTTCAGCCGCATCATTTAGCAACCGATAGGCCAGCAAGGGGCCAGATTTTCGGTTTTCGTATGTCTCTATGGGAAGAGCACCTTGGAGGAACTCATGAGGAATTCCATCACCCAGAAAGTTTGGCATGTATCCAGCGATTGAATTCGGCAGCGGATAAACTCTGGGACAATTATTCCTGTGAAACTTTTGATCCTAATCTTAAAGGTCACCTACTTCGGTACCCCGTTGACATTGCCAATTATTCCGGAGGAGTTGCAGCCATACCTGGAATGGAACATTTCCCTGACACCAAGGCTAGAGTCCTTGGCAGCAAATCTGAGTTCCTTCCTGCAATACTCACCACGTAGTGGCTCAACAATCTCTAGAGTTAACAAATTATATTTGCTTACTTTCTAAATTGCTTAAGTTAGGATTACTGCTTGTAATAATGATTGTAAAATACCAACAAGAGTTTGACTAAGTTGGTATATATGCACTAACTTTAAAATTAATCTTGATTTAAAATCAAGATTAAAGTTTTAAACTCCTAACCTTTTAATATGAAAAATAATAATAATGATTGTACAATAGTGTTGCTCCTAATAGAATATCAAATCCTAAATTAGGAGAGAATGCTCCTAGATAGGATCCAAATGTTCAAGTTTTGTATAAATCAAACGAACAACATAATTTTAAATCCAATGTGTCAAAATATCATAGTGCATTAGTTTAACTTTATTTGTCCTATTTTGATTTTTTTTTTTTTTGATTTTACAAACATTAATTTCACAAGAAAATTTAAAAGGTTTGTGAATGACAATTGAAAACTTTCATTATTTGCTATACGTAGTTGTTGTCAAAATAAAACAACCAAACTTTAACAGAGAGAGTATTAAATATTGTACCATAATTTTAATTACATTGACAATTTATTTAAGATTTATACACTTAAGAGATTGTTTGGTTGAGGGATCCCTATACCCCACCCCTCAAAATCAAACAGGATGTTAAATTTTTAGTACATATGATGATGAATTATGTACGGAAGGTTTTCCCTTTCTTAAATCCTCTAACCAAAGAATCAAATATGAGATTTCAAAATTAAAATATTGAATTATTAACCAATTTAACCACCTTGTGGTAAAATTCATGCACTTATGGTCAGCTTGATTTGAGGAAACGTATAGGAGGGGGGGGGAAGAAGCAAGGTGTTATTTTAATCAATTAAATTGAGTTGTTTGGGCAAATAAAATAATTTAGACTTTTTTGGGAATACATTTTGATGCTTAGTTTTTTTTTTACTATACTAAAAATATTAATTAAAATAAATATTAAATATGTTTTATATATTTTTAATGTATTAAAAAACTAAAAACTTATAGTTACAATTATGTGCCATTGATTTTAAATGAAGCCTTAATTAAAATAGCTTCTCCTTAAACCAAACATGTTTTTAATGAATTAACTAGTCATATAATTTTTTTTTATTATGAAAAATTAAGACATTTGGTATTTTCATTGTTAAGAATGATAATAAAAAAATTTAAATATCTTTGATAAATTAACTTATAAGAAAAATTCATTAAAAATATTTTAAAAATTTTACTAATAATCTTGACATTTTAAATATAAAAACATCTTTATTTTCATTGTTTTTTTTCCTTATCAATGTTTTAGGGAAAATATTTATTTAAAAAAAATTTAAAATAAGCTGTTTCGATAAATTTTTATTGAAAAACTAAAATAACTTATTTTTTTAGAAAAATACGAGTCTTTATTTTTAGTGGTGCTTTAAGATTTTTTTATAATGTTTTAGAGATCTTATTAATAATTATTAATTCCAAAAGATAATTATTTCCTAAAAAATGTATTTTTTGAGTACATTTACAAAATAAAAGTGCAATCCATTAAATTTATTAAAATATTTTTAAAATATTTATAGTTTGTAAGCCGAAATATACAATTTAACTTATAAAATTATTAAAATATTTTAAATAAAATAATAAAAATAATAATTTTATTAAAATGATTTTAATAAATTATAAATTAAATTATACTTTTAATATACCATATAATTTGTAAAATATTTTTTGTATTTGTAATGATTAAATTAGTATACTTTATAATCAAAATATTAAAAATTAAAATATTTTATTTTTAATAAATTAATATATAAGAAATTTTCTAATATGTAATCTGAGGATACATGTTAAAAATCTTGAAAATATAAAAAATAATGTTTAATTTATTAATTATTTAATTAAATTTATTTATGTAATATATTTTTTTTAACATGATTACAATCAAGGAGGGAGAAATGAAATACAGGAAAGGGAATGCATGAGATTTAAAACTACAATCAACAGAGGTGATTTCATTCATGTAGGGTCAATATCACTAGTTCGAAACGTGTAAATTATACATATAATATTAATTTTAAAATTAATATTTATTTTTATATTTTTTTATATAAATTTATTATAAAAATATTATTAACATGTACATTAAAAACATAAGGTAAGAATTTTTTTTATTAAAAGTATTTAAATTATTTAAAGATATTTAAATAATTTCTATATTTTCAGTTTTGTGTACTTTATATTCCATCTAATAAAATGTTCCTTGCAACCAAACAATCCCTTATGGTAAAAGGGGAAAAGCAGGGTTCTTAACTTCCTCTGTTTAATAGCCGAAGTTTTGCTGGAAGAAGATAAGATCTATCAACAACCCAATTCCCAACATGCGGCTTTCAAGGTATTTAGTTCTTTGATCGCTGAATTTTTTTCTTCTTCTGAAGGAATCATGCGGAGAAGTCGACAAGCGCTGGATTGTATTTTATTTTTCTCCTTCGATCCAGTGAGAAAAACCATTACTTTCCTGTTTAATTGACGAATTCTGATTGTTTCTCAGGAAATTTAGCCTTCCCTTTGTCTGGGTTTCTCGTTTTGCTTCGTCTATCCCTGCTTCATCCCCTCTAGTTGTATAGATGCTAGTTTCTAGACACCTCCCCACCTGGATCCTCCCGTTTTTCGAATGCACGGGGTTAGTGTTTTTGTTTTTTTAATTGAAATTTTGATTAAATCTTAGTTCCCACTGTTAATTTGAATGTAAATCATATTCTCTGCAAATTTTATATCTAATTAAGCAAGATTCTGTACCATTGACTTTATGGGTTAGAAGAAAACAGGGTTTAAGGATTGATTGTGTAGTTTAATTTTGGATTTAGTCAGTGTGGAATCTTAGATAGGTATAAATGTTTATGCTTGCTTGCTGCGTAAGCGACCTTGAAAGGAATAAACAGTGAGTCGTATCGGGGATGTTCCTATTTGGCCATTCTTTGCTTCAAGTATTGGGAATTTGATTATTTGAAAGAAAGGGTTTTGCTTTTGGATTTGGGGTCTTTTTGGGGAACTATGTATTCTGGTTCTTGTTTATTGGCCCCAACTGAGAAATGTTTTGAGAAGAAACGTTGTTGTTCCCTGGTGTTGTTTTCCGGAGAATATTTCCTTGCTTGCTCTGTGGGTGATGAAGTCGTTTAAGGCTAAATTCCTTGGTCTTGTCAATGTGAGGATTTTCTTTCTTCCGTTGTTTTCCTTTTCTTTGTGGTTGGGAAATGGTTAATTCATCTTTTACATGAAGTTGGTAGCTACCAAAATTTTGTCTTGCCTTTATGGTAGAGTATTGAGATGTTTCCAGCTATAATGCTTATACACCATGTTTATCAGTATCACCATCTCATATTTTTTTTTTTTTTTTTTTTTTTTGAAAATAGGTAATGCATTGTTGTCTTTTCTATCGGCTGTATTCATGACCAGTTCTTCATACTTGGTACTTGGTACTAATCATAGATGTGGACAACCTTGTTTGTAACAGTGCAGAAGTTGTTTTGGATGCTTTGGTAAAGACACGGTTATTACTGAAGTGGATGAGCCATCAAAGAGGGGAAAAGTTCAACGGGAAAGGGTGAAGAAATCTACCATTTATGATGATTTCTGGAGCACTAGTGCAGGTGAAATTGATGCAGGTGAAATTGACGACAGTGTGTTTCCGTCCCAGCCAAGCATTTCATCTATCAGCATATCAAACCAACCACCTGATCCTTCTGGCAGCACGAGCAATCCATCAGAGTTTGTGAATCAAGGCAAGTTTTAATATATCAACTTCTGTATCATATTATGTAAACCTAAGCAGTAACCGTTGCTTTCTTTCTGATTTTCTGGCCATTGAAGTTCACTGTACCATTTTCTAGTTATGTTTTCTTTCCATCATGATTTTTGTGCTCTTTCTAATTGCATTCTTGAATTAAAATTCCTCAATAGTAGAAATCTTTTACTGCAGGTCTTCTCCTTTGGAATCAGACAAGGCAGCAATGGCTTGCAAGTAAAAGGTCTGAAAAGCAGACAGAACTCCAAGAATCCAGGATAAGGTTTAACTGCTTTCATTGTTTTCCTGATACTCTCTGCATCCCATTTTATATGCCTTGATTTACAAACTTCTACTCGGTCTTGTTGTACATCTCCTTCTGTGCTTGTATTTGACATTGTTATCCTCCTTCATTTGTGTCGTGCGCACTGTTTCTTAACATCATTGTGTGGTTTACCTTTATGTTTTGTAGTAGGAATGCCACTTATGATAATTTACTTGGAAACAATAGTCCTTTCCCCCGGCCCATACCTCTACCTGTGAGTTTGTTCTTCCTTCCACTACACAGTTTCTCTTCTTAACTGCAAACTACAATTATTGTTTTCTTTTTTCTCATCTTAGCAAAACCTTGTCAACGCTTATCCTGTTCAATCTGACAGGCAATGGTGAATTTTCTCGTTGATGTCTGGGAGCAAGAGGGTTTATACGATTGAACAATTAGAAAGAAAAGCAGAAAGAGGGAAAGAATATGGAAACATTCCTCCAGTAAATTCATTTGTGGTTTTGTGACCAACTGTACTATTTTCTTGACTTTGGATCACTCTGTATTATCCTTACATTGTTACCTATACATTAGGCCTTCTCTGAACTGGTGGAAAAAATGCAATGCAAAATGCATTTGAAAAAGTGTTTTATAGGCCATATTGTATTATTTAATATGTAATTTAACCTATAAATTTATTAAAATACCCTTAATAAACTTATAACATGGAGTTCAGTCCATAAAACATGAAGTCCAAATGCATTACTCTTGTAATATATTTTTTTTTCTCTTTTGTTTCTAGCAGGTTAGCTTGGGGTACCTTGTAGTGAAGACTAAAGGAACCCATTTTGCCCCAAAAAAAAAAAATAAAACAGAAGACTAAAGGAACCCATGCTTGGCCCATTGCTATAGCAGGCTTTGTTAGATTAAGTTTTGGGCTTTTCCTGAGAAATTTCTGCCCACCTTTTTTGAAACCTCTGGGAAATTTCCCTTTGAACCATATTATTCATGCACACCACGGCTTAATAATGCAAATAATTAAAATTTAATTATGTTAGATTCAAATCCGTGTTTCAACGTCTTCATTCAAAAAAAAAAAAACCGTGTTTCAACGTTTTTGTTCCGATTGTTTTTCAGGCAAAAGAAAAAGAATGTTACTGCAATGAACCACGTTCATTGCACTCGTGACGATAAAGATGTGTGCACCTTCCAAGTGCCCTGCGGGCCACATCTCCAATATATCCTTTCTTATCATGTCTTCAATTTTCCTTTTTCTTTTTTCATCTTTTCTCCATTATAGGACACATGATGTACATGTTGTCTCCTTATGTTAATCTTCTTAGGTATAGTAATAGTCAAATATATTAGATTGAGGGTTTGATATTCAAACTTTAATGAACAAGCACAAGAGGGGATAATGAGACGTCTTGAAAACATAGCGAAACAAGACAAAATTACTTCTCATCATATAACTCACGTTTTAATATATGAAAAGAAAATGTCAATTTTGTAGTACTTAAAGCTTTATAGTTTAAAAATATCTATTATTTCTGTATATTATAATTATTTTAGTCAAAAGAAAAATCATACATATTAAGATTAAAGATTTCACTAAAAATTAGTTGCATGTATATATTTTTTTCTCAATAAAGTCGGCATTTTGCAGCTATATTAAATATGATATATGTGGCAAAGGTAGCAGTAAATAGGCATGAGAGAAATTATCCACACCCCAATCAAACATATATATGCTCACCATAGAAAATCTAATTAATCATAATTTTTTTGAAAAATGATTAATAAATTTGACACATCTTTTCATATATATTTTTTTAATTATTAAAAATATTTCAATTACCAAA